AATAATTTTATTAAATATTTCAATTTTATGTGATTTCATGATAATAATATATATATATTCAGATATTTTAAAGCATATTATATAATTTCTAAATAGAATAATTTAATTTTTTAGTACTCAAGGCATATATTTCAGACCGATAATGGTCTAAAATAACTATCAAATTCTTCACAATAAAACCTCCCATCTTTCTATATTAACAATTTGGTACACAATAATCTGAATTAATAACAGTTTGAATAACACTTTGTGAAAAACCTCAAATAAGGATGGTGCTTTTCATTTTTTACAGTTGAGTCCATATTTATTTAGACCGATATTGGTCTATATTATTCCATTTCAGCACAATATATTAATCAATATATGGTGCTGTTTGCTTAATTATTCAGACCAATATTGGTCTGAATAAATAAGTATTTAAGTTGATTTGTTGTCGATTCGGATAGAAATTGTTTCATATTAGGTTTTTTGGTTTGTTTATTCAAAACGACATTGGTCTAAATATATATATATATATATATTACCAAACCATTTTTCATCTTTTTTAGACCAATATATCGGTATGAAAATCTACCTTTTCTAGTTTTGTTAGCATTTTGTAAGATAATTTTTTAAATTTTGAAATGAGTTTTAATTAAATAAAATAACATAATTTAATATTAAAATCTTAATTTGTTTTAAAAATTGAGACTAATATTCACTTTTTCCTTTAAAATACGTCACTATCATATTAAAAGTTTTTATTTTCTCATCTCAAATATACGTATTTAAGAAAGAATGAATATGACCTCTGCCATGGACTATGTCAACATGAACAAAATTATTTAATTTGATACTAATAGTAGCATTTGATTTATAATATTTACTTTTCCAATATATATTTTATTTTAATTACATAATAAGAAGTAATCATCTTTATTCCTTTGTCTTATTTTAGTTGCGTGCTATGTGATTTAAATTCAGAATTTCTTATTTTTAATAAAAGAAAATTATCACTAAACTAGTTAAATTATTAACATATTATCCATATTAATTCATTTAATAACATATTATGAATAAAACTATATCATTATTAATATAAATTTACTCCTAAGATTTTCAAAGGTGGCTTTTCTCCATAGTTGGAGGCAATTTTCCTTCTCTTGTGGGAACTCTAGCTGTTTTTCTTTACTCGGTGTGGATTTTTTTTTTCCCCATAAAAGCGTGTTGTGGTTCAATAGCGAACAGCTGAGGGTGACTCATGTCAACAAGTGCTATTTAGTATTTAGGGAGTGGGATTGGGTGGTGGATCGGTGCTGCTTTGATCGGCCTATATATACAGATGGTGGAGCGGAGGTGGCGTATGTTGAGAAGTGCTTGTTTTAGGAAACCACGTGCACATATATGTAAGGAGAGAACCAGAGGATAGTTGAATTTGAGGAAAGAAAAGAATTACCTTTTGATCACATGTCCTAGAAGGGCAGTGTTGCTCATCAATGAAAATGGGATTGGAGACATCCCTCAGCTTAATTTGCTCAAATGTAAGATTGGACACAAGGAGTGGATAAGAAGGAGCCCATGTTTTGATCCTTATGCCATTGGATGTCCTACTAAGCTACAGTTCCTCACAACAATCTCGGTAACATCCGCGTCCATCTTGGATCCCCCGAGGCTACCGATACTGATGCCATGGCCAAGGCCGCAATGAACATTGTTAATGTTGATGTTCTTGGATCCTGCAGGTCCCATAGAAATGCAATCGTCACCGGTGCCGAAGAAGGAATACAAGATACGGATGTCAGTAGAGGAGCCAAGGTGTATTCCATCAGTGTTGGGGCTGTCCTCTGGAGCTGAAATCCTAATGCGGGAAATTGTGATGTTCTTGCATGCAAAAATGTTGAAGTGGAAGTTCTTGCTGTTGATTGATGTTATGGAGCTGATTCTTGAATTTGTAATGAAATCGAGTTGTTAGGTTCTCTTTGTATTTCGATGATGGTTTAAAACCATGATTCAAAAGAATTTAATTTATTTTTGTGCTAAATGTGCATGAAAGTTAATTCAAGGATTCTAATCTTTTCCTACGATTAGAATTGAATCATATTCTCTTTGTTCAGAGTTCTGTGCTCGAATCAATTATATTTGATTCGAACCAATCCCGAACTACTTTTTTTCGAAAATGATTCGAACCAATATTTTTGGCTTCGAAGCAAAAATTCTGAAATGTTAAATTTTGACAGCTCAACTATCTATTTATTCTTAATGGGTCATAAGGTATCTAAATGTCTTAGCACTTTCCAAGACAAGTCAGAAGAATAAGGTGGAACCTAATTGGGGCAATTGTGAGGTGGCTTTGAAAGGCTAAAAGGGCTTTAATTGTAAGGCTCCTAATCAACTATTAAAAGGACATCAAAAATCAAATCTGATGTATGAAGAAGGACGAACTGCTCCAGCAATACAAAAAAACAGGGTTTGTTTTTGAAAGTGTTCTGGATCTCCTTCTTCTTCTCTTCTTGTGAGCTTTTGGGTTAATTGTCTTACAAGGGTTTTGTATTCTTCTTGGATTGGGATCATCCTTGAAGGGGTTGAGTGAGTTGAGATTCACTTGTGAGTGTTTAATCTTGCACCCGCAAGCAAGAGTTTGTTCCGGTTTAATTTTGCACCCGTAAGCAAGAGATTTCTAGTGGATTGAACTCTTAAGCAAGGAGGCTTGGGGGGTGGACGTACTCCAGGTTGAAGGAACCACTATAAATCACGGTTTGATATTCTCTTCCCTCTCTTTTATTTTTCTGCACTATATTACTCTTGTTTATTCTGCACAATAACTTATATATATTGAAAACTTCATTCACATTTTTATAAAGGAAATGAAATGAGTTTTATATCTTAGAAATTGAGAGGTAGCTAGCTGGGATTACACGAGTCTCATTGACTGTAAAAATGCAAACATTAGTATTTATGGGATTTAGAAAACAGGATGATCGTCTCCTGTTATTATTTGGTAACCATTTTTTGGAACTTACAACAAGAAGAGGAGGGCAATTTGGGTCTTTACTGCAATTGTTTAGGGGCCCGGCTGAGGCTCCTTCACCATCAAGTGATCCACCATCATGTGATCCACCATCATTGATCATCAATTGATCAATGTATTTGAAGCTAATCCAATGGTCCAAAAGTGAAGCTTTATCAGTGGGAGCCTTGAGGACTCCTCTAATCTGAAACACAGCAGAGCCCTTACAGGGACCCCTAAACACTACTGGACGCAACAGAAATACCCCTGTTGGGATCAAAACACCATTTTCTCCCAATGAATTGCAAGCCTGATTCCATGCT